ATCTGCCACAGACAGTTGCACAACAACACTTTCTACTGTATTAACAACAACAACAAATATAACAAAAACTACAACAAACCCCCTATAAGAAAGAGACAGATAAATATAAACTGGCTACGGTGTGTGTGTGTGTGTGTGTGTGACAGTGTGTGTATCCCCCTTGCATAGCCTGATAAATGATGTTGCGACAATAATTAATTATATGCCAAGTGATGTTGGCAACGAGGTGAAGGAGCAGTGGCTGTTGGGGATGAGCGGGCATGGTACACAATTCGAAAAAATATTGTATGTTTCAAGTTGGTTAACTGATTTTTTGCATTTCTGGCCAAATAGTCATTTCAGCATTATTTCAGCTAACATATTCTTTTTCTTTGAGCTGAAATGCGATTTTCATAGTTTGTCAAGTTTAAATAGTAAATTAAAATAAGTCTATCTATACTCTATCGTTTACTGATCTTTTTATTTTCTCTCTCACTCTATACATCTACCCTCCTAACTTTTTACATTCCTAAAATGTTCTTTATTTTATTTCTTACTTCTTAATTAAAACTGTAACATGTGCGGTTTTTAGCCTACATTAAATTAATAAATACTTAAATGATAAATGTATAAATCAAAATAAATTTCAAAATGTTACTTGATCCAAACTCAACACATTAACTTTTATAAGCATTAATTGAAAGCTCAGTTGGCTTAAGTTATTCTTTTGCAAAGTCAAACTTTCTTTGCTCAGCCCACTTCTTTCGCGCAGTGTAGCCACAGAGGGGTCAGCTGGAAATCGTGTATGTTAATAGTTAATGCCGCAAGCATTTCATTTAAATTACGCGGCATTTTACAGGACTTGCTGCACCTCAAAAGCGGCGACCGCACCTGCCACAAGCTGTTGCCTCAAAGATTTTCATGTTAGGTTGAGCGACGATTTTGTGTGCGGTTAAAAGGTGTGTGTGTGTAGAGTGTGTGTGTGTGTAGTGTGAGTTGCGGCAGTCTCACTTACTTTGCTATTGTACATTTTAAGTCAAAGCACATTAGAATCAAAACCTTTTTTTGTGCGACTTTTCTATTTCCAAGTGCTGCGGCATAGTTTAAAAGCCTGCAAGGCAACAATTAAATTGCCATTTGAGTTATGCAGTTGGGTGTGTGTATGTATGTGTGCATGTGAGTGTGTGTGTTGGTATGTGCATGATTTAGACATTTCAATTTGCATGTGTTAACATGCAATGCAAAAAGGATTCGATTCTTATCGCTCCCCCTCACCCCTCATCGTTCAGCGCCCACACAATGCCAAAGGCCAACATCTAACTACCAACTGCCAGCTGTGGTCTTGGAGTCACTGCCTTGGCCAAATAACTACCAACTGCTGCTAGCCATGGCCAATACAAAATGGTTTTTATTCCTATTTTTTCGCTTTTCTTTCGTTAGCATTCTTTTGTTTGTTTTTTTTTTCTTTGGCATTCCTTTCCTGCATTTCGCATTTAAGTTGAGGTTTATTATGGCGCAACTTTCCACACTTGCATGCCATGTGCATGAGCACCGCCCCTACCCTGTCCCTCTCATCGCTCTGCTACCCCATTTGCCATATGCCACACCAGGAGTCGTGTCTCCCTGCTCAGTAAGCGCTGCACCTTCTTTATGTGGAAATTTGAATATCCTGCGGTAATTTCCACTATTTTTAGTACTTTGTTGCCCTTTTGAACTGTTAGTAGTGTGTTGCTCTGCAGCTTACTTAAACTACTCCACACATATTTATGAGCATGTCTGTGTGTGTGTGTGTGTGTATGTTTTTGGGGCAGAGCTTTGGGGTTAACTTGTGGTATGGGTACTGTTGGCTTCGCGGTTAAGTGTCCAACACTTGCAACATCCAAACTGCAAAGCTCATCTTTTGTGGCATTTACGAAGCTCCGTTAAACTTTATACATGCCTCTGCACTCCCACCCCCTTCCAATATGGTTGTGTGTGTGGTTTTTGTGTGTGCATGGCCAATGGGGCAAGGTTGCCATTTGATTTAGAATGTGGCAAATGCATTTGCAACTATTGATTTGGATCTTTAGAAATTCTTAAACATAAAACTTATATTTTATTGTTTGCCTTTTGTAAATCTTAAAAATATCGCAGAATTCAAAACTTTTCCAAATGATTAAATTCAATTTGCCAAAAATGCAACATGACGTTCCGATAAATTAATTGGTGTAGAATTAAAATCATTTTATACAAATATTAAAACTGAAAACTTATTATATATCAATTTAAAAAATCTAGAAGCTTTCAAGTTTGCCAAATGCAGCTTGAACATAGAATAAACTGCAAAGATTCATTTCGCAGAAGTTTTGATAAAACTTGTTGGACCGGAATCAGAAGCATTTTATACAAATTTTAAAACATTCAACTTAATATCTAATAATTTTAAAAATACACAAATAACACAGACTTAAAAAGTGACTTTTCCAAATGAATAAATTCAAGTTGCCAATAATTCAGTTTCAGAGGAAGGCAAAACAAAGCGCTCAGATTCAATTCACATGGAAATCGCTTAAGTTTTGATCAACTTATTGAAGTGGAAGTTTGCTTAGAACTTTTGTTTGTCTCGACCGTCTGTAGAGGCTTTGGGCCAAGTTGCATAACTTTGATGTGGATATCTGTTAGCTCAGCGAACGGATGTCTAGCGAATTGCTAATCATCTCTATACCAAACACACTCGCACACTCCAAACAAGCGCAATTAGAAGGTTTTTGGTGGCAGCGAACATTTCTCGTTTTGTTGATTGAGAAATTAGCCAAGTTAGCAGGACAGCAGTTTGGGCAACGGTTTGGGGGCGCAGGACTTTTATGGCATTACAACGCTCAAAGGCTAAAGCTTCATTATGGCCAGCTTGCTGTCCAATCCTGTTGTGCATGAATGTGTGTGTGTGTGTGTCAGAGTGTGTGTGTGTGTGTGTCAGAGTGTGTGTGTGTGTGTGAATGCTTAGATTGCGTGTGCGTTCATTTTTGCTCATTTGAAGCGCATTGCCAGCTCGTTGGCTGGACAAACAACAAGCCGCTGTAAGCCAACAACAGCTGCTAACTTGTTCTGAGACTGTGGGTGTGTGTAAGTGTGTGTCGCGTGCCTGCGTGTGTGTTTTTGTGTGTGCGTGACAATTGTTCGTACACCGAGTTTTTGGCAAAAGTTTTCGCCACAAACTTAGCGCGCGAGCTGTGTGCACTTCATAATTTTGGTATTTCGGTTTCGCTCTTCACGTGCATTGAGGCATTTATGCTTAGGCTTAATCGACGCTTTGACTAACAAATTCTTCTCGAATTTTTGTTTTTCCTTAGTTTTCTTTTTTATTGTTGGTTAGCCAGCACATTGATGAAGTTGGATCGTTTAGTTTATGCGGCAAGTGCGTGACACGAATGTTAAGCAAAACGTAGTCACAGATACATAACAGAATATATTAGAATAGAATCGTAAAGCCCAAAAGTGCACAGCGAGAAAAAAGGGCAAGTCGGTTGATAGTATGCCTAGATTAAATATACTTAAGTGCAGAATTGTTATCTTATTTAAAGTACGATTTTAGTTAGGCTGTCCAAAGTCAACCGATTGAAAATCAGAACTGGAACTGGAATTGCAATTAAAAATCAAAATTTGTCTCCCTTGTTTTTTCAAACTTGTAGCTTGAACCCCTAAGTAGCAGAGCCATATCGAAAAACCGAAAAGCCACACCCGTACAATATTTTAAACTTTACATACCAGAACTGCAACCGGAACCGGAACCGGAACCTCAGTTCGTTTCGATTTGAATTTTAAAATGTATCGAGTATTAGCAAACTCAAAATTGGCGTAAAAACGTATATTAATTACTTACATCAGCAGGACAAAGAATGTATACAATTATAATTTTGAAAATAATTAGGAAATATTATAATTGTTGGCAAAGATATATCAGTTTTGAATTTGACATTAAAAAATAAAAAACACACGTGAATTAAATGTTGTACCTATTCCTAGTAACCATTAGACACCATTACGTATTTTAATATATATTATGTATATTATATTATAAAGTATCTGTCTACTCTTTAGTCTTTAATTATATTCAACTAAAATAAATGTGCCATAATTGCAAATACGTAAATTAAAGTCCAACGAACTTAACATATTATTATTATTATTTTTTTCCTGCTGTGCATGAACCAGTGTGTCGAGCGATCTATGGGTCGCGGGGGTCGCGGGGGTCGCGGGGGTCGCTGAGGTTCAGCTTCCACTTGGCTAGGTTCAAGCCGCACATTAGCCTCAAATCGAATGTGGCCAGAACGCACAAATTTGTGACGGGTTAAAAGCGGCCATCAAATGCATGGTGTAAACAAACTCGCACAAACTCATGTCCAATTATGGTCAGCGCCAACAGAGCAACAAACACAGCAGGCAGGCATGGTCAGGCAGGTCATTTAGGTCAACTACGGTACATGGCCCACTGGCTGGGCCAAAACACTGATACACAGATACGAGATACGAGGCGCGGCAGCATAATACTAAAAATAAATGAAGACATTAGCGACGCTCAAATGACATGTTATCGACTTTGAGCCACAAAAGTGGCCTGGTTGCCTCTGGTTGCTTGGTTGGGGCAATCATTAGGTGGCATAATCATGAGGCTCCCCCCTTCCCCCATCCGGCACAATAGATCATATACAAACAACAATAATGCGCAAGCTTTTGTATGTGTGGCACTCGCTCTGGGTTTGGTTGCCTTTTCAAAGCTCTCGCTTTAGCGCGCTTTAGATTCTTGCCAATGATACAGAAACATGCAAACTTCCGGCACAGGTCGGAAGTGCAGAAGCGACAATCAAATTCACACTGGGAGAAAATTGGAGAGTGGTAAATTTCTCTCTTCACACATATAACATAGACTAGTTCTTACACATAGTAACATAAAATAGATTTTCAGGCTTATCAAATTTGTCTCGGAAAAAATTGTATTTTTTAAACGTTAAATTAATTTACGAAATTTAAATTTTTATTTTCAGTTTCTAAGGCGATTTCTAATTGATATTGTTTGATGAGTGTATCGACTACGGTTTAACTCTACCCCAATAAAGGAAAACATATTCTAGACTAAGGAAAAGCGGAAAGCTGGTAAATATTTTATACTTCAACTATTTCATAAGTATTCATCTAATTATTTAAATATATTTGGAATTTTAAAGTGAGCGTTTCTTTTAATTCAAAAAATTAACATCTTTCCTATCTTTGGGGTGATTTAAAAGATATATGTATTTATTTATTTTTACAATAGTTTTGTTAGATTTTTGTTGTGATTCTACATAATAATTATACATCATAGTTTTTGATGAGTGCATAGACTACTCCATAACTGCAGATTATTTGGTTAATTAAGTATATTTTTTTCTATTTCTATTCAGGAATTATTTTTGAAAACCAAGAAATCTTTTTCGCTTTCACGGTTACATTTTTACTTAAGCTGTAGAATATTTTTTTTACGTGAACATTTAGCATAAGCCATAAGCAGAGACCAGTACCAAAAAAAAATAGCTCCACCCACACACATAAAAAAGCCATTAACTTTGGAAAGGCGGCGATTGAAGCAACGGATTTGTATTTTTTTTTTGTTTTATTTTTTTCTTTTTAGTATGTGTTTTGCGATAAATTTTCATTTTGGCCAGAACTGCGCTTTTTCGCCTCATCCACCAGCACGTGGACAGTCTGGGCCAAGCTATGGCAATCAGATGAGGCTACGACATGCACGTAAATATTTTAACAGCCAGAAGCGAGTCAATGGCCAATACACGGAGGGAGAGTATTGTAAACGTGGCTCAAATGGCGCAGTTACCAACAGTTGTTGCTGCAACAGCAAAATGCAAATCAAGTTCTTGGTTTGCTTGCTTGCTTGCCCTTTCACACACACGGCTGCAACATACAACATGAGTCGGCCAGCGCAAGCCCGGCACTCAATCAATGCACGCGCCCATCAATTAAAGGTCATTTACATGTCAATGCAGTCCGTCAGTCAGTCGAGCAACACAAACCACAACACTTAATGTTGGCCAACTCGGCGACTACTTCTTGCCAGTAGTTGTGCAGCCAGCCACACGTCATTTTCTTTCGACTTCTTTGTAGGACTTTGACTTGGTTTCTAGTTTCCCAGAACTAACGGCACTTGCATGTGTTCTCAACTACATTTTCTTTTTGTTTTCCCTTGTTTTTTCCACTTCATTTTCTTCGCTTTCTTTTTTTTTTCTTTGCATAGTTTGTGTTGCAAAATAGCATTTTGTTGCTAGCCAAAAAAGGAAAATAGTTTGCAGTTTGTAATTTTTACAGCGTTGTAATTTGTTAAGTGCCTTGGCACACTCATTTTTAGTTTCATGGCTCTTTTAGTTGCACAGTTTTGCATATATACTTACGTGTTTTTTTTTTTTGTATTTTTTTTATTTTTGGTTTTGCTGTTCTACAAATGAAGTCATTAAAAGTACGTAAGATTTTTATTGAGCTTTAAAGTTTTTAGTTTAAAGTTTTCTTCAGCTAAATCATAGTTCGCAGACTTATTGCATATGTTGCTATTGAGGCACTATAAAGTATAATAATATTTAATTTAAATAGATTAATCGTTCGTTCCTATATTTATAATTCGACAGGATACCCAAGAACTGAAAGTCGTTTCAAAATTTGCTTGACAAACTTTTTGTGTAACATTGCTAATAAGCTCCTTGGCAACTAGTTAAACAATTTCTTAGTTATTCACTAAATAATTAAATATACAATTTATTCATATTTAAATCTTTACTTTATACTTACTTTATTCATTACGCTTATTGATAATGAAAGCTGCGTTTTGTTGTATTACAATAAATGTTCACAATACGTTTGGGTGCCATTATAAGAATGTTTATATATGCTTACAATAATTTTGGGTCTGTTAATTGAATTCAGCTATTAAAATGTGAACTCAACTCTTAAGCGACTGGTCGTCAGATTGTGTACAATTATTTGTGTTTATAAGAACTGAGTTGAACCGTATAAATGTATATAGAGCAATGAATATATTTATGTGTATATATGTAGGTTAAAGCAAAGGTGTAGAAGTATCTAATTGAATAATGTTATTCGTCTCGCAGAAGCTTTGCTCTGTTTTTCTCCTACTTTCAACTAGTCTAACAAATATATTTCAGTCTCTGCATTAAGAGTTAAATTCTCACTATTATAGATTATATTATTATTATCGCAACTAAATAATATATATACTCATTGATCTGCAAGGCACATTCTGGGAATCCTTAAACTCAACTGCTTTGCGTATTCTAATGCAGACAGCTCGAAAGTATGCTTTAAATTTAAATTCAGCAATGTTCCTAACAAAAATCATGCATTTCTCGCACACACATAAACACACCCAACCACACACACACACAAATAAGCAATGAATGAGCAAAATGCAGTTGGCGAATTTCTTCACTGCAAACTTACAGTTTGCCATACATAATTGTCATTGTTTGCATGCATTGTTATATGACACACAAACCATTCACACACACACACACACACACAACCATCTCCTCTTGTGCCTTGCAATTTATGTGTTGCATTGTTTATGACAGCTTTATCGCAAGTTAATGACATGCGACTGTGATTTAATGTTTTTGCCACCATTGCAAATATGCCAGACAAAATGTCGCCTGTCGTTCGTCGCCGCCAGAGGGCGCTAATGTGCTGAAGCTTTAGACCAAACTACTTGAACAACTTTCTCATTTAAAGTTAATATTAATGTGAATACAGTTTCTGCTACTGCTGTTGTTGTTGTTGTTGTTTCCTTTACTTGTTTCATTTTATCCAAGCGCAGGGTGGACAATAAATTGCTTGGCGAGTTTTTGAGCAACAGCAAACAAATTTTGTCCAAGCATGACAGTTGACATTTATGCAGCATTGTTTGCCGTGCTGCCCCCGCTCTCCTTCACTCCCACAACGCAACTGAACTGAATCGCAGGTCCTTGTGTGCCAGTTCTTCTGTTCATCCTGCCAGCCTGTTGTCCTGTTTGCCCGTTTGCCTGCTTGCCTGCCAGTTCGTCTTGCCTGGATGCTTGACTGCCTGGCGTCGTAATTTTTATAATGAGAAATTGTCGGCACATAAAATGAAGTCCACACGATGACAGCTGACAACGCGAGCCCATCCACAACCACCCACACACCTCACTCCCAACCCCACCCCGCACCACCTTCCTCCTCCAATGCGCCTGCTACTTCAACAATTGCTGTTAATTTTAAGCTCTTGCGAATTTCCGCATCAGCTGCCCAAACGCATTGTTGTTCTTGTCGCTACTTTTGTACATAATGACTACCCGGCGTTCGCAAGTTTTAAAATACCCTAGGAAAAATATAAAGGGTGGTTTAAAACAGCAAAGAATTACTTTATATATTACAACATTTATTTTTATTAATTATATTTATATCTTTTATTAATATATAAGTTTAATTTCGCATTACTATACATTTATTATTTATATTATTTATCATAGTTTAATATATACATTCAAATATATTTAATTTGGTATTCAATAAAAGAAAAAAAAATAAGTATACTAAGTTATTGCAGAAAGGGTATACTTTAGTCGTATCAACGTGTGCTATTGGCAATGCCAACTTTCTGCGTCACAAACAAAAAAGCAGACGAGAAAAATCAAGTAAACAAAAAAAGTTCGTTTTCGTTTTCTTATTCCTTTTTTTAATTTTTGGCGTTTTATTTATTTTTTTCTCGAAAGTAGGTTAAAATAAAATACAATCTTTCAAGGTTCAATGCGGATAAGTTTTATGTATAGCGGGAAAGAAGCAGGCACAGAAAACAAAGGTCAAATGAACAATTTATATACCTGTACAGGTAGCCCCTAGATATATATATATATATATATATATATATATATATAGATGCGATTCTTGAGTTTGCGTGCTGTTCTTATCCAGGAGGGCATCTTTGCCTTCTTCTTTTTGGGCTCAAGTCACATATTTCAATTAAAGTTGAACATGCAAAGCGCAAAGCAAACAAAACAAACCAACATAAACAACTGCCCCCAAAAAGAATTTTTGGACCTGTCCCAAAATAAAAAAATAGCATTCACCCAATAATTCCTGGGAGCTTCTTTCATGCGTGAGCTAATGAAAAATGATTTATATGAGAATTTGCGTATACGTGTACGTAACTTGCTGGCTTTATGGCCAAGTCCAACGCAGCACAATGGGTAATTAACACGCTGCACAATAACATGGCTAACACTAACGAAAACAACAACATAAACAACAGCAAATAATGCATCAAGCTGTTTTTCAGGTTCAATGCGTCGTCTGCGGTTGCCAAGTTGATTAGAAAAGAAATGCAAAACCGTAGTACACTTAGAGAATAACACGACATTATTCTGATTCAAATATAAAACGTTTAATAAACAGAGTATCAAACTGAGAGAGAAACAGGAACCGCTTAACGATTGACATTTTGTTACAAATTCAGCATCGGAACCGATGCACATCATTTTTTGATAATCTTTAAAAGTAGTGCGTAAAAAGCATCAATTGGTCGTAGTTATACCATTACACTTTGCGAACCGGAACAAGAACCAGAACTTAAATTCATTTCAGTTTGACATTCTGAATATTTCCAATTTCAAAAATTAATGAAATGATCAGCTAAACCAAACTAAGACTTGATTTATAGTAAATTACACATTTAAAAATTTAACTTAACTTGAAATTAAAATACAAAGTAAATACTTTAATTAAAAGAAGATCTTTAACTAATAAAATATATATTCTTGGATTGAGTTCGTGTATTTAAAAAACAACCAAGCAACAGAACATTCGTACTTAATTTAAGTGCAACACATTTTTCGCTGTGCAGCGGCTGAAACCAAAGTCGAACTATAAAACTAGTTTTCATAACATCGAAGCCACATAAACAATAACAACAACAACAAACACCAACAGCAACAGCAGCGAGAAGAAGACGAAGCACAAACACCCACAGCAATTCAATAGTTAGAAAGCAAGAACACTTAAAGAGTGGCTAATCAGAGAACATGGCCCAAAAACCGCAATACACACTCTATGTGTGTGTGTTTGTTTCTACTTGTAATTATTCTTTCTTTTAGCCCGGCAGAGAGCATTGTTACGGCCAGGCATAAACCAAAATAATAAAAGGCAGTCAAGCGCAAATTATGCAGCAAAGCAGCAAACACGGTGTAAAAGATACATTTTTGTGCACCGAAAAAAAACAGATGCACAGATTCAGTAGATACACAGCAGCAGAGACAACAAATTCAAATATGCAGTTCGTATGTAATTGCAACAAATGTTGGCAGTTTATAAATATGCAAGTGGCATTGCATACAAGTTGCAAGTAAATAACGAAAATGAGAAGCAAGTTAATGTGGTGCGAAGGGTGCGCGGTTGCATGCATCCGGCAGATACGCTTAAGCATGTTACTTACAGCCCACTCCCAAAAAAAAAAAAAAAAACAAAAATCAGGGGAGGAGCAGCACAAAAAATAGGAAACCGGGAATGCTAAAATGCCACACAAAAGGCACACACAAAAGAGACAGAGACAGAGAGCACGAGAGATTGAGACGGAAAGAGGGAGACCCAAATGCATAGACTCAAATAAATTAGCAACTAAACTAAAAACAAAGCAAAGTGGCTGCAAGCGACGGGTGCTGCTATCCAGAGGAGGAGAAGGAGATTGGGGGGATTTGTTGCCCGCTTGGTGCTTGTGCAATGAATGGGGAGAAAAAAGAAGCCCAGCTGCAATGAAATTATATACAAATGCAGGGCGCGTGCAGGCATAGAATCACATACACACACACACACACACACAGCACTCAGACACACACACATGCATATAAAATTGTAAAAAATGTTTAACGGTGGATTTGTGGCAGTTGGGGTAGAGGTAGAGGAGTTTGTTGAAGCTCTATACATTTGTTGGTTGCGCCTGGCAACACATTTGCACATATATCATTATAAAAGTAAAAAAAAATAACATTAATAAAAATTAAGCATGTTGTGTCTAGTAATTTATAAGCTTGAAAATACTCTGTCACACAGCTAAGCAACATAAAATATATAAATTAAATTGCAAAACATGGTGTTTATGCTCGACGGAAGTCAAGTCAGGAAATATGGCAAACTATTGCGCTTGCTACTATTTCATTTGATAATTTGGAAATATCGATTTTCTTTTAAGGAAGATTATGTCTGGGTATATTAAATAACAATTGATAGCCTTATAAAAGTCCTGGAACTTGTGTCTTTCATTGTTATTGGTAGTCAATTTGAACAATATGGGAAAACAACATCGATTTTTTGCGTGTTTCTTAACCGATTTGTATACGTATGATTAACATTTTGACTGGATATATTATATGCAAAGGCAGAACTTTTGCAGAACTTTATATAACATTTTTTCCATTTTCATTTTATAAAAGGTTTTCCCGTTTGCAAACAGTTGGAATCGCTACCGGGCGGTGTTTTCAATGTGTTTTCAATGCTGTTGCTGCCCGAAGCAATAGGAAAAATAATGTATTCCGACTTGCATATTAACAAGCATTGAGAATTGGAGCTAAACAGCGCTCATTATGCGGCTTCAATGTGCATCTATTTAAAATTAAAATGAAGCTGCTTTTGTTTTCTTTTTGTTCTTTATTCTTTTCCTCTCTCTTCCCTTGTTTTTTTTTTTTTGCGCTAAAGATCCGAATTTGCCACATACAAAACACGCATTTGTTGTTGTTGTTGTTGTTGTTGTCGGTCTGCCACTTGAGTGATTTTCAATATGAAAATGCATGCGGAAGAGGGAGAGAGCTGACAGAAGAGACATGCAGACAGACAATTCGGTGTGCTGGTGGGGGTATATTGGGGAAGTGTAACAACGGCATGCTTCGCTGAATTCGAGTGCAGCAGCAGCAACTGCAACAGCGCCAACATTATGTGGCAACAAAAGACAGCAAACAGAAGCAATATACTCTGCGGCTTTTACACCATGTGTGTTTATGTGTGTGTGTGAGTGTGTGTATCTGTGTGTATATATAATAACATGTCTGTCTATATGTGGCAGCCTATTTAATTGCTGGCAATGGGCCCTTTGTATTCTGCAATTCGTGTAATGTTTTAAACAGACAGCTTATGCCAAATGCATTTTTTAATTTTGTGCTTTTTGTTACTCATTCTAATTTTGTATAAACATGCAACATAATGTGGCAGCGTCTATTCATTTAAAATTCAACTTGGTGTGATATGTGAATTTGAATACTAGAATACTTAATGCCAGACTATTAAAACTAAATAAAAAATGGGACCGATCTCCGATGTGAATGATGGCTCTATCAATAATTAAATTTAAAAAAAAAGAACTTGATAATAGTTTTACAGTTGTTAATTAACTGGTTTGGGTATATACTATATCAATTGGAAGGCTTTGTCAGTACAATGTGCTTTTATTGCTATCGTTAATCGATTTTTATCGATATTCGCGAAACTTTATCAGCTTGTGGTGAATGACAACTTCTCGCTTTTCCATAACTTCATCGTACCCTTCTTCCCCACTAGAACTATTTCCATATATTGTGTTTCACATGTAATAAACTAGGAAAGCAACTCAACTTCTCTAATATTATGCTTTCTAGGTAATTTCTTTATAACAAACGAAACCAATTACAAGTCCTGTTCAGTTAACTGTAAATTTGCATTTTGGCAGCAATTAGACAAGATTCAAGTTTTTTTTTTTTTTTGATTTTGTATAAATACTCAAATTTTCGTAAATTCGTAAGCAAAGAATACTAAAACAAATAAAAAAGAAAAGGAGAAAAGTGAGGGTCGGGGTGGAGGAATGTTTTACGAAATGCTGAACATAGCAATTTGTATGTGCATAACAAAATAAACAAAACCATTTCTGATTTCATATTTATGGCTAGTCCTGAAAAATATTCAAATTGATGCAGCAGCCATAATTGGATTTCCAAACACAAGACTCAGACACACACGCACTCACACACACACACACACACACACACACACACACACACACACACACACACACACACACACACACACACACACACACACAAGTAACAATTATAAAACTTGACCTCTTTTTTGTGATAGTTAGTTAAGAGATAAATTTGATTATTTATTTAAAAGCCTTCTTTCATCTTTGCATTACTTTAGTTGTGTGTTTATTATTTTCGATTTTTTTTTTAACTCACATCAGATGCTAAATGACAAAGTTGACTTTTGTGAAAGCTGAATTTCATTGAGACTTTTTTTTTGTCGAAAAATTGAAAACTGCGCTTTAAAATTGAGTTTTTATGATTTTATTAAAATATTCAGAAAAATATTGCAAAAATGGATCACATGCTTAATGGCTAGAATTGAGTTAATTAACTCTTATATCAAGTACTTAATACATGAAATCAAACTTAATTTTTTAATGAATGAATTTAAAATCAATAATGATTCATTAATTAATTAATCACTTATAATTATTTAATGTTTTAAATAAAATAATTGCAATCATATTCTGGAATATACTTGAAGTGCGAACACAAAGTTTTTCTGTGAGTGTGCATTGTCCCATTGGTGTTGGTGCTCTTGTTGGTGTGGATTTGATCTGCTTTTGGTGTGCCCTGCCTTAAGCCAAGTGGCATCTTTAACTCATCTCGTATCATCCCCTCCTCTCAGCCTTGAGTTGCAAGACCCTTGTTGCAACATTCTGCACACACACTTGACTTGCAAATGTTTTTTTTTCTATCAGCTGCTGCTACAGATGCATCTCTCTGCTCTGCATTGCTAAGTAGCAGTGAGCTTAATTAAATTAAATGTACACACACACACGCACACACACACACACACAGACACAGACACACTCAGAGTGAGAGAAAGACTCTTATGAATAGACATTAGGTATGCGTTAAAATTTAAGTGGCTTACACGAGCGTGTCATGTATACACACTTGAGCCAGAGCATGGGCACGAGGCGGGGCGGGGGCGCTGCCACGCCTTGTTTGCCACTTTTGCATATGTATGACATAATTAGTGCTATAATAAAACCAACACACACAAAGCCACTTATAGAGGCACTTCTAGTTCAAAAGTGTGCAAAAAGTTGAAAAGTCGCTGTGAACATTTTTTTCCTTTTTTTTTTTTTTTTTTTTGTTTTTCGCTCATTTGAAATGTTAATAAGATACCATCATCATCATCAACATCAACATCATTATCATCATTTACATGTACAAACACATATAGCTTTCTCGTCTAGAGTATTCTTTGGGCAACTTTTTTGCATATATTTCACGCTTCTTTATTTTGATTCTCTCGTTACAGTAAATTACTTGAAAATACATTAAAAATGTACAAAAAGCTGCAGTAAAACAAAAAAAAAAAAAAAAAAAAATACCAAACAAACAGAAAAGAGAGAAAAAAGGTTACTGGCAAAAATAAGGTGAGTTAAAATAAATATTATTTATGCTGCAGCTGCTGCTTTAGCTTATTAATATAAATGGAGAAAAAAAAGTTAATTAATATAGGTTTAGCATATAAAAAAGAAATATGGTTTTTATTTCAACATTGTTTGCAAATTTCTGCGGCTTATTTGTTAAATCGACTGTAAAATAAATTTTCTATTTATTGAAACCAAATAAATAAAATGCGCGCAAATAATAAATGACAATAATCCTGGGCACCGCAAAAAAAAAGAAGAATAAACATTGAATACACTACAGATATGTATTTAATAAAATAAAATATAGTAGCGAGAGCAGATTTCCCAAACCAAATTTGTTTTATTAATAAATATGTTACATGCTCACTTATAAGTTTGTCTACTTATATTATTTTTAAATGTATTACATATATTTATTTATTTATTTTTTTTGTATATGTAAGGCTAGCTCTTAATTTTGAAAACAGTGTATGCAAATGTGCGAACGACATTTATAAATTATGCAATGTAAGCCCTAAAGACCTCATAACTTTTATCACTCACTGTCACGCACGCAAACACACACAAATATTTATTAAAGAATATATAGAATAGTTTTTCATATATTTCTCATACACAAAAAGAAAAAACTGACACTGTTCATTTTGTGATGTGTTTATATTTGTTAGGGGTATGTGTGCATATGTATATGGTTTTGATGTCTGTGTGTAGGTGTGTGTGTGTATGTATAATGTGTATGCTTGTGGGTGCAAAACAAAAACGCATGAGCACAAAAATTATTCTTACCCCTTCGCTGCAATTGTGAGATAAACTTGCACAACAATTTGTATTCTTTGGCAGAGTCCTGCGGCAAGCTGCAGCAGATTGTGTTTTGCGTGTGTGAGTGTCTGTGTGTAATTCATAACTGAAAGCATAGAAACACACAAATAAAAGTAAAACTACTTCACTGCTAGACAAATTATGCGTCAAAAGCGATCCTGCGCATCGAAGAGCTGAAGAGTTTAATTAAAATTTGCACAGAGGTCAACACGAACATGGACTAACACATAGCCTGTAGTCAGCTTTGGAGTAGAGTGTTGTGGAATTTCTTGAGTTAGTTTAGAATGTATGTTTTGTGTGATGAATACTTCACTTTGTATCTGGCATTACAACCGGAAGAGGTTCTTTTGATAATTAATAGCAAGGTGTGAGTTTTGAAGAACTTGAGAAAGTAAATATAGTTTGACGAAGAGGAGTGCAATCGGATGAAGTTATTTGCTAGCCAGTGAAGTGACACGTGCAAGTGAGTTGGTATCGCATTAAGTTGCTTGTCTTATGTGGAATTAATCCTGTCCATTCGACTGGAACTCACGAAGATAACTTAAAATAGACCTTGTGTGAGTTCAAATTGACCACGCATTGTGCCTCGACATGCACATATGTATTTGTATCCATTTGTGTGTTTCCATTTTCGAGTGCATTCAATGCATTCACTCATCCAAAGTGCTCAGTTTAAAACACAGCTTTGCTGAAATGGATTTGTGTTACATTCTATTCATTTAAGGTCACTCTATTGAACTTAACTTGGATTCACATTTTGAGTTTAGTACTGCCGATCTCTAGTCTCTTTATAGATTGAAGTATATCCCATTATAAGTCTGTTTGTTGCATTGAGTTCTTGTTGCACTTCTCATGTTGTTGCATAAAATTACACTTCCGACTCACAGTTACTTTTTTATAAATATAATTAATAACTGGAAGTGCAACAATTCCAGCGATTATTATTTGATTTTTCACGCACGCATAAAGAATGGCGCATTATTTGCTTATGGACAATAAAATGTGAATTAAAATATTGTACGCTACATTAAAACCTACTGATGCATGTCTAGTTGCTGATGCCATAACGTATGGCGGCCCAATAAATATTATCATTTAACTGGTGCCGAACGATTCTGGGGCCAGCACGATGAGGGGTAACACGCCCACGGGTAATCATTCAAAAATTACAAACAAGCGACTGCAATTAAAATTAAAAATTAACAAAATATTTGCCATCAGATATGCGCGTGCACACACACACACACACACACACACACATACGCATGCACACGCATTCACATATACACACACACACGCACACATGCACAGAATTAACACTCTGGCATTTGGGACAGCAGCTTCAACGACTCATTAAATTTACATTTGCATATGAAATGATTCCAACACGCAACAGAGACTAACCCTATACCCTCCAGCCCAATCCCCCAACACACACACAAACAGACACACACCCACACACACACACACACCCACACACACACACACACACACTCATTACACAACTACTAATTAATGCAACTGTTGTTGTTGGTGTTGTTATTTTATTTGGTAACAGGAGCAAAGCTGAGCTTTGCAACTGAAATGTTTAGCTGTGCGTGGGTGTGTTTAATGCATTTTATTATGCATTATGCTTATTTACCATAGTAAATATAGATACAATAATTGGATGCACAGCAAATAAAAATAGTTTCAAATTTAATTTAGCATTTTTTCATTCAAAATTGTTCATATTTATCTGTGGTAAAGTGCACTTAAATTTTAGAAAAGTAGAACAATATTCGAATGTCTGTTGTATCATACTTCAATTATTTTCAGCGCTGAAGGGTTTTTAAAAAAACGATTGATTTAAAAAGAAAACACTATTCTTTCAAACAAAAATAATTCACGCCAACTGAGACCATATTCCCAAGTTAAGATATTTAACTTGACTTTTAGAGTTGTTATTTTCTCTCTCTGTATACATACATATATAATTTTTTATGGCTGTCAAATGTGTCGCTGGCAGCAGCTGAGCATGCAACATGACTACCAACATTTTGTGGCAACCAATTAGGCCAAATTGTGTGCTGGCTTATATGCATGTATATATATATATATATCCCGATGTGCATGTGATTATGACGTTATTGCATTTTATTTTTATATTTTTTTACAGGAATATTAAAATGTAATTAAAAGGCCATTGCCAGATGGATGCTTGGTAATGTAGGTGAGGATGTGGCGGGTTGTTTAATTTCCATAAATTTGTTTGCTGTTTAATTGTATATTTTATTTTATTGAAAAAAATATTAAATATGTCAAAAGCAAATATTTCCAAATAAATTACAAATTGCTGAATTTTAAATATTAAATTTAACTTCGGTGAAATATGCCAGATTCTTTTTAATTATGGCACTCTTACTCGATTATGTACAATTTTTTTGCTTTCAAATATTGTGAAGTACTTTTACAGTTCTCCTTTTTTTTTAGGATCACCTCCCCTTTTCTGTGGCCTTGCTTAATTTTCAGGGCAGCGGTCACGCTTTTCAATTTGTCGATATGTGAATGTTACACATACTTTTGGTGATATTCAATTTCGTTTCATTCTGCAATACCATTCTTAAAAAATTCTTAAAATTTGTAGTTGCAACTTTGTGCGTGCAATTTTTAGCTTACATTTATTCTCTCTCACTCTCACTCCTTCTCTCTCTTTCGCCCGCATGATTCATCAGGACTCGTCAATACACATTTTCATTGCATTGAAAATTGCTGTGTGTCGCATAAAGTGCACTTTACGAATTTTCGCTTTTTTATGACAACATTTCAGCATTTCATTTGAGCCCAAAGGCCATATAACACTTGCAGTTCCCAACACACCCCTCCCCCTGGCCTCCTTGTCCACACTTTGGAGGTTATGTAACTTCTTTTTATTCACTTTCTTTTATTTTTGTACTTTGATTTAATGGCTATAAAAATAAAGAGAGGGAGCGAGCGAGAGACAGCGGAAAGAGCGTGACATAAAAAAGAATCACAATGTACGCTGTGAATTTCAATAAGCATCGCGCACAGTGCGTATACACAATGTCAACTACTGGGCCAAGGCAATTTTTAATGTTTATTTGCTTCGTTTAGTATTCGCAATACCCTGGCTGAGTAATATTGTGCCGAAGTCACATTCTATACATTCTTGCTTAAAGACATCTTAACCAGAACCACATAAAGTTGATATATTCGTGATCAGGATAAACAGCTAAAGAATCGAAATTTGGAATATAAATTATTATTATTGTATACCACAGGCAAATAAAGTTGACTTCAATTTATCAATAACTGCCTTCGTTTAATCTAATTTGTAATATCGATACAAATTGATTAACGATATCAATAAAAACTAAAATTTTAAAGCTAAATCTGACATTATATTGATCAACTGTATATCAAAGATTTGTATACGTTTAGGGATAGGATACAAGGTAAGTGCAGGGTATCTGCTAGTCGTACACTTCCGTCCACAGTTTTCGTACTTGCTTTATTTTTCAACTGTTTTGAAACGGTGGCGAGTTGGCCGCTTAAATTATTGGCAAATGAAACATGAAGCTGGCTGCAACCCCAAAAAAGTATGCAACGAATTTTGATTTATTTCTTGGCATGCCTATGCGTATGTGTGTGTGTGAGAGTGTGTGTCAGCCATTTATGCATATAAATACATAAATTGAAATGAAGTGCCAGCCACTTTTGTGCACATTTCAGAGATTTTAATCTTTATTTATCGCCACTGCATTGTCCACTGGAGCCAGCGGGGCCAACTGCGACGATATGTTAAGCAGCCACTGTTTCCCACTCTCCCACGCCCCTCTCCGCGCATTGATTAATGTTAATATCTTTGCATAAATGCGTTACGCATATTTCAACACGTATTTCTTTTGCAAACAATGTGCAGCTAGATGGCAGAGCCAGTGGCATATTTATGCATTTTTAATGCACAAACAATACAAAATATATGTGTTATGCAAAAAAGGCAGCATTTTTCGGACCGTAAACGAGAGAAAAATTTAAGTCTTGTTTCCCTTGTTTTTGTAATCTTCATTGATTTTGAGCGGCTGATGCAAAAAAAGTCGTCAAATGTTTCGCTACTGTTTGTTTGGTGGTATTGCTACAATATAAATAGCCGGAAGCTGTGGCTGGCATGTTTTTGCATG